TTTATTGAGCAATCACTCTACACCAGCCATATGGATGCCTGATTGTACAGATTATCTTATTTAATTCTCACAAAAATCTTAGGAGAGAGTCCACCAGTAGACCCAGGGAGGATTACGAGGATTATGAGGTTCCATAGCTAGTGAGTGGTGGAGCCCGGATGTCAGCCTAGAGCAGTACTTATAGGCCTATCCAATCCTGCTTGCTGAACCCCAGGTAAGAACATCAAGGAGAAACTTCCTGTGGTAGAAGTTGTGTTTAGTGGTTTCATTTGCTGTGCTGTGCTATAACTCTTTCCCCTTTACCAGCTAGCCAGCTGTCAATAAAGCCTGCTCCACACAGCTGGGGTGGGGGAGGGTTGTGGGAAAACAACCAGGTTGGGGGAGATGACCATAGGGCAGAGGGGTGTGGGAGGTGGTTTCAGCACTAGTGATTGAGAGCAATGCTCAGGATCCAAGCTGGTCAGCAGACTGATGGAAAGTTCCATAGAAAAGCAGATACAGTGGGGAATGTGAGTACCTCCTTGGAAAATGTACCACATTGGCTGCTAGATTTCACCCTATATATAGGCTAGAGGCTCAAACCATCTTTCTTGGATTCTAAAGGGAAAGAAGTTCCACAATTCTAGATTTTAGGGGCTCCTTGGGCTTCATTGTTACACAGCAAGTCATTTGTGGCACAGAGCTGGGCTCTTCCAAATTTGACTGTTTACTCTTTTATTTATCCATTTTTTTTTGGGGGGGGGATGACAAGGACCAATTCTTGAACCTCTTCATTTCCATCATCTATTCTTTTGGGACCATTTTACACACACACACACACACACACACACACACGGTTTGGGTTCATTCTGTTGAATCATTTCATGAAGAATACTGTGTAGGCAATAATAAAGAACAACAAAAGCTATGTGGAGGGGAATTTAGGTGAATGGTGATGCTTACCCTCCAGCTAGGCAACTCACCTTACCACTTCCTTGTCTCTAGCTTTAAAGGACAAGACCTGACTTCATATTTCAGTCCAAATTGTCACATGTTATGGGACTCTAAGGTGTTTTGTGAACAGCTAAAAACAAACATTACTTTTACCATCTAGAAGCATACTACTGACATTACAACTTCATATGTTTGCATCTACTGCCTTAAAGCCCTTGGCAAAGTAGGCTACTTCAAAGAATATGAACTTACAAATATGCCCAAGGCGTTTAAAATCCTGTGTGAAATCTGAACTTGGGGATTAAATTAATGCTGAAGAAAGTTGACTTGACATGGTCTCAAATTTTGTTCCTCTTATTTAGGTGAAAGAATTTAGGGACATGAGAACATTATGCTGAAATTTCAACAGAAACAAACCACATTTCATGGCTTTTACATGTTTAAGAAAGATACATGTGGGCTGGGGATGTAGCTCAGTGTTACAGCTCTTACCTAGCATGAACGGACCTTGGATTCAATTCCCAATACTACAAAAAAAAAAAAAAAGGATGTTTCCTTCTGCAAAACATTTCAACAAACATGAGATGAGGAAACAACAGGAGGTGGAAGTTATGTAGTTATATGCCGTTAGTCCTCAGTGAAAGGAAAGTGACCACAACACTTGGAGTGACCAAGAGATCTTTATTGCAGCAGTGAGAAAGAGGAGGGGGGGGAGAGAGAGAGAGAGAGAGAGAGAGAGAGAGAGAGAGAGAGAGAGAGAGAGAGAGAGAAAGAAGAAGAAGAAGAAGGAGGAGGAGGAGGAGGGGGAGGGGAGGGGAGGGGAGGGGGGGGAGGGGAGAGGAGAGGAGAGGAGAGGAAAAAAAAGAGAGTGCAAGAGAGAGGGCCCGGCAGGAGGGAGTTTTTATAGCCAAAATCTAATGGGGTCTTTGGGTCTGCAAGCTGCCTTGTTGGCGTACAGTGATTGGATCATACAGTAGTTGCTAAGAGTGTCTTCTTCTGCCTTCAGGCAGATGGGGCAGGGGTCAGATGTGGGTTTCTGTTGCACCAGACGGGTGGTGGTCAAGTGTTCAGCCTTGAGCGGGGTTGGGTGTTCAGCCTTGAGCGGGGTTGAGTATTCAGACTTGACGCAAACAGGTGATAAAGGACCAGACAGAGGGGGGTTTGAGTGCTCAGGTTATCCTGCAGCTAACATTTGTTCAGCCTGCCCAACACACAGCAGCACAGAAAATCCAAAGTCTCTTAAAATCCAAGTGCTATGAGCACATTCATTCATTTAAAGCAAAAGGATAGTTCCCAAGAAAATTGAGGCACAACTCCTTAGACTAAGAGAAACTTGAGATCAGATATGAATGTGTTCCTATTAGAACTCATCAGTTGACCTCTACATTCCATTTCCTACAGTATCTCTGTCTGCCCTGCATGTCATTCCTCACAGTGAGCAAACTGATTCCATTAGAATGTGTAGGTGGAAGGAACCAATAGGGTTACTGTCATTCAGAATGATGCTGACACTGTTCTAATCACTTAACATACACTGAGGAAGATAACATCTGGCTAAGTGAGAAAAAAATGCTTGGCACCAAACAACATGAGCTCTTAAGCCAGATTACCAGGTTTGATTCCTAGTTCTATCATTTCATAGCTGTGTGACTTTAGGCCAAATAACTTCATCTTGTACCTCAGTTTCCTAAAAAAGAAATGATGATAAAATTTCATAGGGTATGGTAAGAATTAAATGAGTTAATGGGGGGCTGGGGATGTGGCTCAAGCGGTAGCACGCTTGCCTGGCATACGCGGGGCGCTGGGTTCGATCCTCAGCACCACATACAAATAAAATAAAGATGTTGTATCCACCGAAAACTGAAAAATAAATATTAAAATATTCATTCTCTCTCTCTTTAAAAAAATGAGTTAATGGAACAAAGTGCTTACAACAAAGACTTGAAACTATTTGATTTTATCCTAATCCCTTACACACACACACACACACACACACACACACACACACATCCCTTGCTTGTATTCTAACTGGTGGAGTCTGGAATTTGTACAGCTAACTGCTCTCCCACACCTGGGCATGTACTTCTCTCAAACAATGAAGGCAAAGAAGAAAATGTTTCTTTTCTTCTAATGATACTGCTTATACACTTACCTGTGAAAGCAGAGCCATCTTGGCACTGTGAAGGGAGCTGGAAGAAAAAAGGGAACAATAATGATTTTGTTCAGTTTAAGAATTAACCAGCCCTGAAGTTCCTACTTCTGAACTTTTTGAGTGAAGTAAATTTTCCTTAGTGCTTAAAGCATCTTGAGTAGGCTTTTCTGTTACCGTATCTGAAAGTACCCTAACAGAGCATCTATTAAGTTGAAGATATCTTAAGGAAAAACAAAGCATAAAACTCTGAACCTGATCTCAACAAATTTTTCATACACCTGAGGGAGATAAACCATGAAAAGAAAACTATTATAGTAGGCAGTGAATGTTAAGTGCTTGGATTAAGGTAGTCCAACTAAGCAATACAGTTCATACATCAGGAGTGGCCTCAAAGAATGAGGAAAACATGAGCAGGGGAAGAGGGAACATTCTAGGTAGGAAAAATAATATACACAAGGGGTGAGTTAGAGACTGTATTAATTTACTAAGTCTGCCATAACAAAAATACCACACATTTGATTGCTTAAAACATAAGTTTATTTCTCACAGTTCTGGAGGCATGAAATCGAAGATCAAACTGTTGGAATCGTTGGTTCCATTTGGAGGCATCTCTTTGATTCGTACATGGCTACCTTTTTGCTATGTCTTCTCATCCTTGGTGTCCTTACGTATCCACACTTCCTCTTCTTATAAGGGTATCAGATTGGATCAGGGTCCACCTTAAATGGTCTTATCTTAATCATCTCTTAAACACCCTGTCTCCAAAATAAGTCTGAGGTACGGATATTAAGGATTCAACATGAATTTTGGGGTAGGGGGACATGATTTAACTCACTAGGGATGAAAAAGAAGTCTAACAGAGATCACTGGAGGATGAAGTTGGAAGGTTATGTTAGGACCAGACGTAGGTAACCTTGAAAGTTGGGCCTAGAGTTTCCTCTTGCAGCAGCAGGGAAGCAACATAGATTTTTAAAAATAATTTGACAGCAGTGTGCCACAGGTGTTTTATATGAGAAAGAGCTGGATAAGAGAAATGGGTTAGGATTGCTGTTGCTATAGTCTATATAGATACTGATAAGGACAAAAATGAACTCAGGAGAGGAAGATTAAATGAAAGAGCAGAAAGGGCAAAGATGTATGCTTGCAAATTTCCATCAATCAAGTCAGTGTAAGTTTGTGCTATAATGATTTGTCCTTTACAAAGAATTACTATTTTGTCATAATAGGGTTGTGAAGCTAGGACATTGGGATACCCGTTTTGAAACACTTAGGACTAATAATATGAAAGGGAATAGACTGCGTTGATGGGTATACCCTGAGGTGTTCTAGAAATCAGTTTTATAGAAATGTGAAAATATCAAGTAGAATGCTGAATTATTAGATTTTCTTCAAGGTCCCATCTGTGGCTTAGTGTAAAAGTTTATTTAGAGTCCAGAAGAAGCAAAGCATCTAGCAAATACCCCAAATTGCCTAGTGTTTTCACAGAGAAGATCTAGACTAAGGTGTCTCTCTCCAACTCTGGTTGGAGTAGACCCTTTTGTTGTCTAGTTTAATACTCAGCTTACTTCAAGAGCAAGAGAGTGGTATATAGAATATAATAAATGGGCTTGAGAAATTAAGAATTTGATCACTAAAATGGAAACTTAGGATTCCAAGACCTCTTGAATTATAAACTTAGAATGTATGACTTCTGTAAATTATAATTCCCCCAACCCACACAGTTATCAAATACACATTTTCATAGCCATACATATAAAAAGTATATAAACACTATAAATATTTATATTGCTAAATATGTTATACATAAACAGAAAGGTATAAGATTTTTATTTCTTTAATAACAGCAGGGTTTGCATTAAACATTATCCAACAATTTGTATATTTCACATAAATGTATTTATATATAGCCCATATTTAAAATATTTTCTTAAAAATAAGGCCAAATATACCACCTAATCTGGATTATGTAAGTATCCAAAAAATATGGTATTCTAAAGAAGTTATCATGAAACAATAAATTTCTGTCGGTTCTTAAACATTACAATATGTAGGGTTATTCTATGTCAAACATTTTTATTAGACTCTTGAAGGAAGAAAAATTTAATATATTTGTACTTTTTTTTTAAAGAGAGAGGATAGAGAGAGAGAGAATTTTTTTTTAATATTTATTTTTTAGTTTTCGGCAGACACAACATCTTTGTTTGTATGTGGTGCTGAGGATCGAACCGGGCTGCATGCATGCCAGGCGAGGGTGCTACTGCTTGAGCCACATCCCCAGCCCCTCTTTGTACTTTTATTAACAGAAAAACCTTTCCAGATGATTTCAGATATTGAATTTTTTATCGGAATAGAATGAATATATACATGGTACCAATTTCAAAGGCTGTCAAAAGGTACATGTAGTTAAAAAGAAGTATTCCTTTCTTCTCAATTCCCCAACCCTGTAATTTCTTTTTACTTTTTTTTTTTTGGTGGTGCTGGGGATTGAACCCAGGGCCTTGTGCATGCAAAGCAAGCACTCTACTAACTGAGCTATATCCCCAACCCCATCAACCCTATAATTTCTTTCCTTGGAATGAACTGTTAATGAGTTTCTTATAAATTCTAAAAGTATTTCTGAAGATTCTATACAACATTCTATCTTATCCCCCAAAAGAAATCTAGAAATTTTTATTCCAATTTTGACTTCTTGATCTAGTGACAGAGAAGAGATAGAATAAGGCCACCAAGTCAAAAGGTTTATTTGGGATCTTGGGATAATGAAGGATAAGTAAAGACTGATTTGGTCATCAAAGATTAAGAGCTTTGAGAAAACTGATAAAGCTCTTGAGTACATCTTTTTTTCTTTTTAACCTTCATGGCAATGTAGCAAAAGACAAAGGTGAAGTGTATCCTATATATATAACTGGCCCCCAAATTTTGACTCATTCTTTGTTCTAAGACTTAGCACAGTTAACAATTCTAGACCTACACTTTTATGAAATGTAAACTTCATTTACAATTTTACATTTTGATTTTGAGATAAATTCAATTTAAATGGGGAAGATATTGGAATTTGATGTTCTTGTTTTTAGTGAGTCACTTTACCTGGGTCTTTTTGGAGCCATTATCTATGAATCACAGTTACATGCATTCTCATTTTCCTTAAAGACCATCTGTTGTTTATGCAAAGGTAGAAGTACCTATAGAAAGGTTAGTTTTCAGTTTGTTAGTAAAAGGGAAGCCAGATAGCCAATACAGAAATGCCAAAATGGCAAAAAAAGTATTAAACTTACCATTACAGGTGAAAAGTTATAGTTTTATTATAACAGTAAATATACATCTTAAGTAGCAACTAGTAAAGTGCAACTAGTAGGCCTACCACACAAGATAAAAGAAAAAGCTTTGTTGATAATATGAACAAATACCTAAAAAATTGTTGAAAACAACAAAGCTTTAGAATGTTAGTTCCTCACATTCCACATAGAATTTCCAATGCTGATCCATTATATGGCGTGGGAGAAATTCTTGATCGTTGATTAAAAGTATTTCATTGATTTGTAGATGATGTGGGATGTTTTGCACTGACTCTCTGGAAGTGCCTGTTTAAACATGCATCAAGAAATTGAGAAATTAAAAACTGCCTTTCACAATGTAAGGTTTAAATTTATTATAAATCCTAGAATCTAGTAAAATCTATGTGAGAGGACACATAACAGGTTCTTTGACCAGGGCATTCTTCACTCATTCCATTTTTTGTACCTGAGGCAAAACTATAAACCAGTACTGGCTGACCTTGGGAGAGAGGCCTGTTTGCAGTCCAAAATAAGAGCATTTGGCAAAGGATGAGGGAAGCTTCTTAAGGTAACTGAACAAGCCCTTCTGCCTCAATGCCTCAATTTCTAATAAACTAGAAACAAGACAGTTGTGATGATTAAATGAGATTTTGCATGTGTAATGCTTAGCAAATTCCCTGGCATATAGCAAATATTCAATAAATATTAGCTGCTATTATTATCATCATTATTTATTACTGAAAAGAATATTAGGCTGGAAGATAGATGATCTATCCTACCTCTACCACAAACTTGGTGTGTGGTCTCAAGAAAGTTACATGGTTTCTCTGAACTTTCATTTCTGAGAGATGAAGAAGACTGATGATTAAAGAGGGTTCTTCTGGCTCTGCCAGTTTAAGGGGTCAGTGATCATAAAACTGGTTTCTTTCTGCTCCCCAATATTAACCTCCAACAGACAGTTTTAGTTAGACATACCCTTATAGTCTCAGAGCTTTGTTCATAATCCTAGGTGATATGTTTTACACTAACTAGATATCTTCAGGTCAGTGACTTTTTTATGCCTAGTACTCATTTATGCTTCTCTGTATGATCATCCTTTTCCCCACTTGGTCCATGTGAAGTTGAAGTTCACCAACAACTGGTGAAGTTGTTCCCCACATGATTTATTTAGCTCTGAGCCAATCAGTAAGTAGGCTTTGATTCAAGAAAGAGAATATAACCCATTCAAAGGAAAGTGAAGATGCAATACGATTGCTACTGGGTCTTTTAGGAAAGAGCCCCATACATATTTTTCTTTGCTAGACTTGAACCTGGTAGAATATAGAGCTGGGATGATGAGGAGAGGCTATTAGGATGGAGCTGAAATGAGAAATGGAGCTAAGAAATGGAAAGCAGAGAAACTGGGTGCTTAGTCATGCTGTTCAAATCCTGGATAAAGCTTGAAGACCTGTTCCTGACTTTTCATGTAATGCATCAATAAAATTCCTTTTTTGGAAGTTTAAGCCAATCTGGATAAGATTTTAAGCTGTCACTTATAATACAAAGGATTTTGACTTTTTAACCCATGGTCTATATATAAACATAATAATTCCTATATTAATAGCTTTGGTTTTTTAGACTTTCTGAGACAAGGTATCCCACAAAAGTTGGGGGTAGGGAATATTTTTCTCTGAGGAAAAACCACAGAAATAAGGCTTTCAATAATTAAACATATTTCATCAAAGCTGGCTTGGTTTCATCAATTAAACACTATCATTTACACTAGTCCCTTCTCCCACAAGACACTGTCCCCCACTTCAGATATGATTTGAGAAAGTTAATGCATCTACTATAGTTTATTTATAATTCACAATTTATTCTTAATTTTTCAATATTCAGGAATGTGCAAATACCCCTATAGGACTGCTATTCAGAAGTAGAATTACTAAATTGAAGGATTTGAACACATCTTATTATTTTTATTTTCTTTTAGTTGTAGATGGACACAATACCTTTATTTTATTTATTTATTTTATGTTGTGCTGAGGATCAAACCCAGTGCCTAACACATGCTAGGCAAGTGCTCTACCACTGAGCCACTACCACAACCCAGATTTATACACATTTTAAATTTTAAAAATTTCTGCAAGAGGAGCCTTCAAACGCATCCTTTTAAACTCTCACCAATAATATATACAAATACAGGTTAGATAACCTGTTCTTTCTTCCATATACTTGCCAACACCGAATATTATCAATGTTTTTAAGCTTTCCCACTCTGGTAGTGAAAAAAAAAGTCTCTATTATTTTATCATGAATATCTTTCATAGATTCAATGTCCTTTAAAATTTCTAGGACTGGGAAAGTGCCTATTAATTCTGTCTGCATGTATTTTATATGATATTAATCAGAGCATGGTATTAATTAGGTCAGGAATTTAATCACTGTATAGATCAAAATTCTGCTCCAAAACTGTATTCCTTAGTTCACTGGGCACCTTCACTGGAATGTAATATTTAGTTAAATCTGGTGTTCCAAAAGACAGAAAGGTAAAAGTTCATGTCTTGGTAACAACACACCCACAGCATTAGTTCTGAAATATCTACATATTTAATATTTAACTCAGCCATTGCTTCAGAGAATCACTGCTTACATTTCTTATTCTGTGAAGACTAAAATGAAAAAAAAAATGTGTTTGTTTTGAGACAGGGTCTCATTGCCAGGCTAATCTTGGACTGCTGGGCTCAAATAATCCTTCCCCTCAGTCTCCTGAGTGTAGCTGGAACTACAGGTGGTATCACCACATCTGGCTTAAAATAAGTTTTTTTTTTTTTTTTTTTAAAGAAAGAGTGGGAGAGAGAGAGAGAGAGAATTTTTTTAATATTTATTTTTTAGTTCTCGGCGGACACAACATCTTTGTATGTGGTGCTGAGGATCGAACCTGGGCCGCACGCATGCCAGGCGAGCGCGCTACCGCTTGAGCCACATCCCCAGCCCTTAAAATAAGTTTTAAATAGCTCATTTTTATTACTTTTCAATGCATCAAATATTTTAGTAATGCATATATACATTAATTATTATTTAGCAACAATGAATGACTGATGGAAACAGATGCAATACTTCTGATTATTGATTTCCATAATGTTATATGAAACTGTTAGGAAAACAAACAAGTTCATAATTTGGTAACAAGTATGTAATTCACATACAGTTTAAATGACATTTTATAAAAACTATTCTATTGTTAATAATTCTATTAAAAGCACAAAAGAAACAACTGGGGGTGAGCCAAGATCTATTAATACTCTGGTACTGGGAATTCCTCTATTTGCTGCCAGAGGGGAAGGGCAGGAAGGTCCTCAGCTGACAAGGTACATACTTTTCTGAAGGCACAAAACCCTACCACCTTAGACCTGGGCTCTCTTTGAGTCTTCACAGCCAGCCCAAGTACATTCACATCATCCTGCTGTTAATCCAGTTTTCAGAGAAGGTTCACTGTTTGAATCTCCACTATAAAGTGCCGCAGTCTGGCTGGGCACAAATGCCCCAGTCTGGCTGGGCACACAATCACGAGCCACCACACAGCTTGTAGATTCAAACAGCAACTCTTTATTCCCGAACTCACACCAGCCGTCTACAAACACGTTCTGGGGAAATCCACGTTCTCTCTCAAATCCACCTCCACTGGGCTTCTATCTCCAAAATATACTGTCTGAATCCCGTGAGAACTCAAGGGGAACTCAGGCAGCAGGATACGCCCTATTCCCAGCAGGAATAATCTTAAACCTTAAACCTGGAACCTAAACTGGGAACGCCCTAAACCCGATTATGTTAAACCGGGAACACCCTAATCCGCCCTGGTCCTTGAGCAAGGTCACCTACATTCAATGTCACTGCAACATGGGGTAGGCTGGCAAGGAAATTGTCATACCTACTTGGCTAATGGCTCCCAGCAATAAAGTTTCTTGCAACATGTCAAATTACTCAACACAATTTATTATGCTTAAATAGATATTTTCCTTATTTATAGCTGTCTAAAAAAAGATTTCTGGCAGAGACTACGAGTTGCCTCCACTCCACCCCACCTCCTACAGCAACAGAATTGGGCAATACGTTAAGTGGAAAAACTATTTTTCAGCCCTTCTTAAAGCTAAGTGTGGCATTTGACTAAATTCTGGCCAATGAATTCTAAACCAAAATGTGTAGATTTCAGGGACAGCTGTCTTTTTAAGGGAAAAGACATCTATCAAAGTTCCTCACCCCAGCCCTTTTTTTGCCACCTTGCTTTCCATCTTCCTAATGTCTAGAATACAGATGTGATAGATGGAGATTCATTACTACTTTGGGTCATGGATAGACCTGAAAATGTAAATCAGTGCTGAGGAAGATGGAGCAGAAAGACAGTATGACTTTCCAGTGGTGTTCTGTCTACTTGGGATCACTAACATCCAGTCTTCTCCATGAAAGAATAAAACTTTGTGTGTTTAAACTATGGTATTTGAGGTTTTTTGTTGCATGTAGACAAACTTAATCCTATCTATAAAGAACTTCTATACTCTAAGAATTAGATAGAACATTTTTGCAAAGAACTAGACAACTGGGTCTGAGAACCAGGCATATGAAAAAAATACAAAGCCCATCCAGTATCTAAGTTTTGATATCCCTTTTACTATAATATGCATATTTTAAAATATTTTTTTCAGTTGTAGATGGACACACCATCTTTATTTTATTTATTTATTTTTATGGTGTGCTGAGGATGGAACCCAGTGCCTCACACTTGCTAGGCAAGTACTCTACCACTGAGCCACAACCCCAGCCCTATAATATGCATATTTTAAGAAATTCCAATACATGAGATCAAATAAGTAGATGACTGAAAATATGAATACCATGGAAAAATATATGATTTAAGGTAACAGATCAGCAAGGTACAAGTATTGACATTTAAATATAACCATTTTATAGCTATCATAATCCCTGTAGTTTCATTGATATTGCTTTAGGAAATTTTATATACATCATCTCATTTGATCCTCTTGTCTGTTATTGCAGTCACATGTGGAATTAGGAAAAGCTATGGAAAACCAGAGGAAGGGTGGGCTTGTATGCACCAAAAAAACCCAGCATCTCTTTTCAAAGGGCAGGCCTCCCTCAAATGTCACAGGCCTAAATAAAGGCACTTTTAAGAAGGGTCAAGAACACTGCAAATAAGGTGAGTTTCATTTTATTTGGAATAAATCATCACTATGTTGTTCACATAGAGACGATGTCTAGCCAAATACAGAATGGTATGCAGTAACTCTGCAAAAAGCAAAGTGCCCATC